GTTATTACCGGGACCAATTATATCAGGCTTCAAGATACCAGGAGTAGCTTTGCTAGGTCCGCGAGAAGAATATGCAGCAACCACCGGAGCTTCTTTATCTCCGATTATTGTTCCATGGAACAAAATTCTTGCAGTTGGTTCTGATGTTGAGTTCATGTATTGAAGGATCTCCGTTCCGTCATTGAATGTAATAAACAGAGCTGGAAGGACGTGAGGATCGGCTAACTTGGTGAAACCAAGCTCAGGGATACTAACAAGAATCATACCAACTCCTCCGGCATCCTTTACAGCTTGTCCTTTTTCAACATTGCCAGCATTCCCAAGCTTGCACACAACAATTTTGCCTTTAATTTTAGGATCATTCAGAGTACCTGGTTCGCAATAAGGGCTATAAAAGTTGAGTTTACTCAGTGAAGGATCAATCAAAGGGAAAAAATCCAAAATGGGAACCTTAGGACTAAATGCTGATTCACCCACGAATAGTTTTTGGTTTCCGAGCATAACGGTGGCCTTAAGTTCTCTGTCAATAGTGCTTGCACCTACTGTCAGAATCCACGGAGCTTCGTTTGATATGATTCCATTGGATGGACCATCATTACTGGCAGAGCAACTTACAAGAATACCTCTTTTTGCGGCACTGTATGCCCCGAGTGCAATTGGATCATCATAGAATGACCTGCTAGGTCCACCCAGGGAAAGGGACAGGATATCTACTCCATCATCAATAGCTTCATCCATGCCAGCTAAAATGTCAGCATCGGCGCAACCAAATTCTTGACAGACCTTATAAATGGCCAAGTGAGCAAGAGGGGCAATCCCAACCGCAGTGCCTTTAGCGTTCCCATACACATTGGCACCTTTCACAAAATTTCCTGCAGCTGTGCTGGAGGTGTGTGTGCCATGTCCATCATCATCTATTGGCGAATGTTTGTCGTCTATGTAGGACCTTGCGCCAATGAGCTTGTTGTTACACTTTGCAGTGAAATTCGAATCACACTTTCCCTTCCATTTAGCAGGTGGAGGAGGCATTCCTTCGTCGCTAAATGAAGGAT